CCAGTATAGTAGCTTCCATTTTTCCATTATCCGCAATTAAGGGTACAAGGAGGGTCCTTGCAAGGATGAGTTCCACAGATGAGCCTTGTGGACTTCGCCCCCTCAGAGACCGTGTTCTTTGGGGCTCATCCGTCACTGACTAAGTTTTGACTGTGAGGGAGGTGTTTCTGAGTGATACTTGCCGGGGAATAGTTCAGGTCGTACCGAGTATTATAATCTTGGGAGTCAGAGTGACACGCCTTGGCGGCTTTTTTTCCTGCTTTCCTTCCCTAAGCTCAGTCATCAATTCGGGAGGGTCAGCATCACTCCCTACCCTATGAAGCTCGTTTTTACACTTAATCTTACGTCTTTTTGTTTCCCCTTTTGCCAACCCTAAACCCTGAGCCCCTAAACCCTATAATTCGCTGGCAGCTACAATAATAGCAGGTCTGGGCTCAGGCCTTAGGGCTTAGGATTTAAAGCTTTGGGTGTTTAGGGCTACCCCAACCTGCAACTTAAGACTCGAAATCATCCTCAATCCTGCGCTGTAGACCCTGAACCCCAAACCCTCAAGGGTACCTGAACCCCGAATGTAGCCAAATTGATGACCCAACAAAAATCTAAACTTTCAATAGAGGCGATCGTTCTATATACATACTCTCTGGGGTTCAGGTAGCACCCTAAAACCTAATCTACAGCAGGCCACTCCGTTGCCCCTGGCTTCTTGGACGGGCTTCTTCGTAGACATCTCTGCCGTCAACCCGGTCGTCTTCGGGACTGTGGCGGGGGGCCCCACCTTCAATGGTGGTTTAGGGTTTAGGGTTTTGGGTTTAGAATATTGGGAGGATTTTGGGTGTGGGTATGGTGTCGGGTTTAGGATTTTGGGTGTAAGCTTTAGGGTGTCGGGTTTAGGATTTTGGGTGTAGGGTTTCGGGTTTTGGGATGTGTTGGGTTCTGGTATGTTTTGGGTTTAGGTGTAGGCGTTCAAAATAGCCCCAGACTAGGTTACCTAAATATTAGGCTACTGGGCTTTGTAACTATAGGACATATAGAGCCCCGAACCCATTATTTAGGTAACTGGAACCCTAGGGAATTATTACAGAAATCAACATTAAGCCACTTTCGGATTGCCGCGAAGGTAGACTATCAAGTATCATTTTCTGGTTAATGGAGTTGTGATACCTGGCCCGCTGCCAGATTTGGGTTTATAGTCCCCCTTAGGTAGACAAAATACTGGGTCTAAGTAAGCTAAAGTGCTTGTTATAAAATGCCTTCTCGCGGAGGATATAGCTTACTCACCATTTTGGGGATTGAGTATTCAACTGGCAGTATATGGCTATTCAATATGTCTGTAAGAATCAGAAAACTTCTGACCAAGTGCAGGACAGGTGCATTAACACCTCTGCATCAGGACCAAAACGACCCTATGTACAATGCAATTTCAGTTAGGGCCTAGGGTTTAGGGTTGATGCTGGCTTTCCCATATTACGTCATGATACTGCAAGAATTCCCCAAAATCTTGAGAATTATGGTATTCTACCATAACTCTGAAGCCCTACACCCTCCACCCTAAACCTGTTAAGTCATGCAGAACTTTTAGTATCCACCGTAGCATCCCTCTGCTGACCTTCGCATCCACACTCTACGCTGATTCCTAGATTGTTTGGGCACCCAGGGTTTAGCGTTTAGGGTTTAGGGTTTAGATCCACAGCGAAGCCCTTCAACACAAGGCAATACTTCATGATTGATGGAAATCTAGTCGCTACAAAACACGTTGCTTTCCCTGTCCCTGCCAGACTTCCAAGACCACTTGGTGCAAGCTATAGCTATCATATGACTAAAATGGCGTCCTGCTTTTCAGAAAGTCCAATATTATTGTAGACCGCGTAATGCAAAGTCCCCTCAAACATGCAGTCCCAGTACCGGCTCAATCCCACGCGCTGGCTCCGGAGGCGGGAGAACCTAATAGCAATAATGGTACAAGGAGGGGCCCCCTAGTTACATAACTATACTTATAAGTCCTATAACTACCATTTATGGAACTTATAACCATAGTTACCCCAACTTCTAACCCAACTTATAACTAGGGGGCCCCTCCTTGTAATAAGAATGATAATGATAATAACCGACATTTTTTGTTGTTGAGCTTTACTTGGAGAGTTAGGGAGACTTAGTAACTGAGTTGTTACTCATCAACCCCTACATGCCACATAGTAACCCTAATGACCCCCATTTCATAAACCCTAAACCCTTAACTACCTACAAAATCCAAAAGAAACTGAAAGTAGTAGAGTCTACGGCATGAAGGAATGGAAGACAAGATGGAAACTACTATGTAAGGCTTAGGGTTTAGGGGTGGGGAATGAAGAGCCAATTGCAAAATGAAATTTCATCTAAAACGGACACCTGGGTTTTATAGGGATGTGTAAAGCTCAGGGTGTTGACCGAATTCGCTGCTTGTTTAGCATTTTACGTAGGAATGGACAGGAACACTGAAATTACTACAGGGCATATGAGCCATAGTCTAAACTCCTAGCTTAATAACCCCTACAGTGGACCCCTATCAACTATCCTATATAATCTCCTTTAAGAAGTTTAAACCCCTTCAAAGGAGCTTAGACTATAGCTCATATAGTAGGGCCACTGTAAGGATGGATCCACACCTCCCTTCCCCACTCGCGAACCAATTCTGTCGTACTCACTTTACCCATAGGCTCCCATGCAATTCCTTTTTGGATCTGTTGTGGTTCTGGTCGGGGATTATAATACACTACCCGAAAAAGAACTACACAGGGGGGTCTGGGTAACCAGGAGATGTGCTTTAACATGTTTCGGCCACCGCCTGGAGGGTTGGGCATTTTAGGGTTTAGGGTTTAGATTTAGGTAGGGTTTAAAGGCACCGAAAGGGCAGGATGGTTTCAACCGTATTGCTATCCATACTTAGAAGGTTTCTGGCTCAGAAATCTCTATTTGGGTTGCTTCCCTCAGAACAAGCTCAAGCTAAAAAGCTCAGAAGCTTGAACATGGAGCTTTGAAGCTCCTGAAAAGCTTGCAGTTGCTTGCAGGCCTGAGGCCTTCGCAGTAAGCCTTGGAAGCCTGCTACTTGAAAAGTTCCTGAAGGCCCATTCTTAGGAGACCTTCCTTAATCTGTTGGCCCAGGCGCATGTGAGGCCGTGGGAAGCATTGGGAAGCTTTTGAAAGCCTCTGGAAACTCAGCCCTCAGAGCTTTAGATCCAGATAATCTTAGAAACTCAGCCGGCCAGTTGTATTAAGAATCCTTTCAACCCTAAACCCTAAACCCAAAACCCTAAACCCTAAACCCTAAACCCCAAGCCCTAAACAAACACTAAACCCTAAACCCTAAACCTTTCAAAACCTGAAAGTTCTTAGTCCAAGTCATTTGAGCACCTTGGGGCCTGTGAGGCTGTGGGGGGGCCCAAAAGCTTTGATGTCAGAAGGCCGTAACCTCTACACGCGGTTTAGGGTGTAGGGTTTAGGGTTTAGGTCTAAACTCTAATACCTGACCCCCTAAACCCCAAACCCTAACCTTGTAAAATCCTTT